ATTTGAGATAGAGTGTTCCATTCTCTAGCTAATGGATTAAGATCTGTTGATTGGAATAGAATGAGAGAGACAAAGATAGGGAAAGCATGACCTGAGAATTGTCAAACATGGCCCAAAAATGCGAAAATAATCGTGAAACACCGTACCGTACTAGCCATCCCAGCCAAATAAAAGAATTAATCGTCGTCGTCCCAGCCGCCATAACCTTAGAATTGTCAAACATAGTAACACTAGCACAATATGCAAGATAGAGAATGGTAGGATGAATCAAAATATATATAAAAAAAATTATCTAAAAAAAGAAGAAGAAAAAAAGTAGTTAAAAAACGTACTGTGCCAAATAAAACAATCGATCATCACCATTGCCGTCACAGGAGAACAACAAGAGTTGACAAATGACTAAAGAGAGAGAGAGAGAGATTGAGTTGGAGAGTCAGATAAATAGAGCAAATGAATATGGGATAAAGAATAGTCGTCGCTGGATAAGAATAGAGTAAAGAAAACAATCGGAGCCCCTGACACCAATGTTGCCGCGATAGTCGTCGCTGGATAAGAACACGAGTCGACAAATGAAAATATACATAGAGAGAGAGAGAGAGAGAGAGAGAGAGAGAGAGTTGGAGAGGTAACCTTAGGCCCATCATAGCCTCAGAGTTGATAAGAGTTTCGCACTGAAACCAGTAGAAGAAGCTAGGACAATCATGCTGTGAACACTGCACTGAAACCAGTAGAAGAGGCCGCTAACGATTATAAGGCTCAAATCAAAGCATCGGTAAAGAACAAGACAGCTAATTCTAATAACAATAGGTTTCCAAAATTAGATATGATTCTAATGGGTATGTATACAAATGGACACATGGCATCTCTGTTATCAGGGAATACATTTCTCTAGGAGAAACGGAGGTAAACCGTTGCTGTGAGGACGCATCGGTGGTGATTTTTCTAACTCGTCATCATGAACATCTATACTGTTAGAATATCATATAATTGTTTCAACTCCACAGTAAAAGAAATGTCACATTTAGCAATTAAAAATTTAGTCACAAAAAGCATTATTTTAAAACCTTTTGCCGACTAAAAACATTACTGGCCATGTTTGCTGCCAACACTTCAAAAGTATTTGGAATATTTGCTGACTAAAATATTTTTAATAGCTAAAGTACAACCTTCGAGGACTAAATATTTATTTGCCATATATTTTAAATTTAGTCGTCATGTAATTTTTAAAAAGTTAAATAATTTTTTATTTAAATTTTTAGTAACTAAATATTTAGTAGGCAAAAATTAAAATTTAAACCTTTGGTGATTAAAAATTTAGTTGACAGATCAAAACTTAGACCTTTAATGACTAAAAATTTAGTAGGCTATAGTCAAAATTTAAACCTTTGGCGACTAAAAATTTAGCAGGTAAAAGTCAAAATTTAAACCTTTGGTGACTAAAAGTCATCTATTTTTTTTTTTTTTTTTTTGAGAATCCAAAAAGTCCTATTTATATTTAATTTTTTATTTAATAATTTGAACCCGCACAACTTTTTTTATTACCCAAAAACAATAAACAAACATTAACACAATCATATTCAAACACGGCACAAGTTATATGAAAATTCATACAAATAAACTAATTGAGTCATGAACTAATTAAATTATGAATTATAAGATGTTGGCTTCTAGGTGAGGAAAAAAGCATAAATTACTGAGATAAACTGATGAAAAAAAGAAGAAGATATGTTTCACGACAACCAAAAGGAGAAATACACAACGGATCAAAGAGCTATAAATCTATGTGATACCAGAAAATGAACTCTGAGAAATTCAAAAAGCAATACACAAAAATGAAGAGACCAATTTCTTGGATTCATAAACTTCCAATTTGCAGGCAAGATCCCCATGCCTCATATAATGCCCTTGCATAAGAATACAAACAAGCAAAAGTGAACAGTTCTACCAACTCTTCATCTATTTGAACTAATTTCTCAAAAGGCTATTTTAGCAAGTAAATTCCAATTACAGTACTTAGCTGACAAAGGTCCATTGAGATTAATAAGTCGAACAATGATACAGAGTCCTAAAAGTAGAGCTTTAAATTGAGCCCTACTTACATGACAAGGAAAAAAAAAACAAAAAACAAAAACAAAAACATACACATAAATCACATCACATCACAAATGGGGCCCACTATATTAAAGTTCTCCTAGAACTCTCTTTCTAAAGCTCCAAATCATTTTTGTAATAAGTCCTAAGAGGACAACCCTCAATTGAATTGGATCAACAAGTCTCCATATAGTAACAATAGCAAATCAAAAAGCTCTTCCAGAGAGTAGCTACATAGGAAATTTTATTATTTATTGCAGAAAAGCTAAAATTAAATTGCAACTGACAGATTGCACAAATCAAATGTTCAAATTAAGTTGTCTCTCAATCCCCAAAACAAAAAGCAAAGGAATGAAGTGAGTTAGGGGGAGAAATCAAAACCTGGTAGCATGCTTCCCAGGTTATCTTTGACAGAGCGCATGCAAATGTCACCCAATACAGAACTCCATCTCTTAAAATTAGGCCATTTTTCTTGTAGTGTCCCCCATCTCTCAAATTTGCTTTGCACAAGTCATTTACAAATTAAAGACAACACTAAAACAAACACATACACTAGCAACAATGATTAAAATGGGTTAAAAGTTTTCAAGGCAATTCAGTTGGTTAATAAATAAAAAATGGTTAAGATGATTATAGAAGAGCTGCAACTTGATGCTCTGTTCTGCACCGGTCCTATAAACTAAAAAGTTTCATATATAGCACATTAATATTATTAGTATATCACAAGATTAATTTGATAACACTTAAAAGATGAATTGCTTTCTCAATCTCATGTGCTTACTAGTTTAATATTTGAAAAGAGAAATCTAATCCTAAAAGGAAAGGATTCCTTATGTTCAAGAAATTAAAAGAACCAGTGATATAATGAAAAAAATATCCATAAAAGGAAAGGAATTCACTCTTAAACCAGAAAAATTAACATAAGTGATATTTAATAATATATTATCAATAAAGAACATGGACTGTGAAAACTGCGATTATTAAAGTAAATACAATTCAATCATATAAACACTGTAAGAACAAATCCCAAATTGGCATACATAAAATCAAACAAATTAACACACATAGCCCAAACCAGAAATTTCAAAAGTTGTAGTCCCATTGATCTTGGTCAAAGTCACTACAACCATTTCCCTAAGCGTCACATGACACGATGCTGATTAGTCTCTACAACCAATCCACCAACATATTAAAAAAAAATTGCAAACTTCAATTTCACAGTAAGGGGAGAGAGAGAGAGAAAGAGAGAAGAGATATATATGCTGGTATGATATAATAAAACTAGAATGACTTTCTACTATGTATCACTGAATGTTATGTCACCAACAAACATTTGCCCCGTAGGACACAGATTACATCAGGAAAAAAAAAATTATTCAGAACTCTTAATAGATTTTACTTCTGATTCTCAATTTTATATGCTAGTCTTCCAAATTGTAAATAAATACACATAAAACTAGAGTTTGGAGAGAGGAGATGTTGGGTTACGGTGTAGAGAGAGAGAGAGAGAGAGAGAGAGTGAGGAAAGAGAGTGCATAGGGGTCAGTTTCTAGCCCCAAGCCAAAAGAAGATTGTTAGCTCTAAAGTCAAATAAAATATATAAAAAGAAATTCCCCAAAAAAGGGGCCCAAAACGCCACAAGAATTTCCAAAAATTTATAAGTGCCGACACCTCAAGGAGGAGATGTTGACACCTCAAAACAGTGGTGCTCCAAGGAAGTTCAACATAAGTGGGGTGTCGACCCCAGAAAGCCCAGGTGTCGAAACTTCCAAGAAGTGTCACACCTAGATCACTGACCAAGCAGTGCCGACACCACAAAGAGGCAGTGTCGACACTAGGAAGCAAAACTCTAAGAGGAAAAGAAAGAAATGCAAGTGTGTTGACCCTAGGAGCCCTAATGTTGACACCTGAATCATAAATTCAAGGTTCTAAAGCATTTTCTGACAAATCTGAGTGCAATTCAATATTCCTATCATATTCTAGATCAAATTTCCACTCTACCATTTCAATATTACCTCACCCAAAGGATCTCCATTAAAAAAATACTGAAATTACACACATCTTATTGCCTTAAGGTGCACTAATGTTACAGTTCTCTTGATCATATCAAGAGTGTTTTGATCTAATTTCGTCAATGTAGACGATGATAGACTTGATCCTTAGAGTAGACTTCATTGTATTATGGAGGCGGATTTGCTGCAACCTGTTAGACCTTTTGTATTTTGATGATTGTTTTTGTTTTTGTTTCAACTTTGTTTTGATTTATTTGCACAACAACAAAATTAAATTTTTACGGCTTGCAAGCCGTAAAAACTCTTTCACGACATGCACACAAATGCTGTTATATGACATGCCGTGAAAAGTTGAATGTTATTTACGACATGCAAGTAAAATTGTAAAAAATAATAAATTAAATATTAATGACATACTTTATATGTCGTATATAATTTTTCACGACATTTTTGTAATGTCATAAATCATCATACTTTCCATGGCATAGTTTTACATGCCGTAGAAGGTTATTTTGAATATATTTATGGCATACTTTGTATGCCGTATATAATATTTTATGACATTTTCTTACATGTCATAAATCATCACACTACTATATAATTTTGTATGTCGTAGAAGGTCATTTTTAATATATTTGTAACATACTTTGTATGCCGTATATAATCTTTTACGGCATTTTCTTACACGTCCTAAATCATTATACTTTTTATGACATAATTTTATATGCCATAGAAGGTTATTTTTAAAATATAATATATATATATATACATATATATACAGGAATATAACCTTGCCTAACAATATGCAGACGGTAACTTATAAAATGCAACTTATGAACAAACCAAGCAGAAGCAACTATGAAGTAAAAAAATCTAATATCCATACACCAAACAACCTGCATACTAACTTCCATCCTCAACTTCTATCATATCAAGTTGATAACAACCTCAAACATACAAATAAAGAAAAGTATCCAAATCATAAGATTCACTAATCTCTAAAATACGACTTTAACAACCTCAAACATACAAATCAAGAAAAGTATCTAAATCATAAGATTCACTAATCCCTAAAATACAACTTTAAACATCCAAAAAATATAACTACAAATCGTAAATCAATTAGTCTCTAAAGTATGACTCTAGTTTCCACTAATCTCTAAAATACAACTTTAACAACCTCTAAAATACGACTAATCTCTAAAATACTAATCGTATAACTACTAATCTCTAAAATACGACTTTAACAACCTCAAACATACAAACCAAGAAAAGTATCCAAATCATAAGACGTTTTCACAAAGGACAGTCCAGCGCTCTAGCTTCCACTCCGTGCACCCTCCCAAGAGAGCATCAAAAGCAACTGGAATATTTACTATATAATTCTCCATTGAATTGAAAGAGCGCATTCTCCATTGAAAGAGCTCATTCTCCGCTGAAATGAAAGAGCACATAGATATATATACACACACAAACATGTATTCAAAAGATAGAATATAAGTTGTAAATTAACCTGAGCAAGGTCACCAGTGGCATAGTCACAGAATAGCAAATAACCATTTGGCTGGAGAAAGAAAAGTTTAAATCACATTAAGAGATCATAATAGTAATATCAATTATAGATTTTCAAAATTTCATAGTGGCATTTACTGTGTGTTTGGTAACGTTTACGTTTTCAGTTTATATTTACGAAAATTTTATAGACTGGTTTTTGTTTATTTTTTGTTTATTTTTAGAAAAACATAAACTACAAACGCGTTTGGTAATTGACAAAATGTTTAAAAAAATTTAAAAATATAAAAAAGAGTGAGAAATGGCAAGTGGTGGCAAGTGGCGGCAAGTGGCGGTGGAAGACGGTGGTGGAAAGTGGTGACGGTGGGTGGTGGGTGGTGGGGGTAGTTGGGTGGGTAGGTGATGAATTTTCATTGACTAACATGATTAAAATATCTTTTGTTCTATCTATTTTACTTAATAGAAACATGCAAATAATTTAAATTGAAAACAAATCAAACAACATTAATTTGTTTGGTAACGTTTACGTTTTCTATTTATATTTACAAAAATTTTATAAACTAATTTTCGTTTATTTTTTGTTTATTTTTAGAAAAACATAAACTACAAACGCGTTTGGTTTAGACAAAATGTTTTAAAAAATTTAAAAAAAAAGTGAAAAATGACAAGTGGTGGCATGTGGTGCGTGGTGACGAGTGGTGGCGGCGGAAGACGGTGGTGGAAAATGATGGTGGGTGGTGGTGGTGGAAAATGGTGGCAGGGGGGGGCTAGTGTTGGGGGATAAAAAAAAAAAAACCTCAAAACTCAAAACAGAAACACATTTTTTGTGTTTTCATTTTTTGGCCAAATTTATAAACTGAGTCCACTTATTTATAAATCAAAAATTTTACCAAACAAGTTTTTATTTGAGTTTTTTAAATTTTTGTAAATATAAACAGAAAACAGAAAACGTAAGTGTTACCAAACGCCCTTGAGAACTTTTCTGATATTCGGCAACACCAGTGGCATCTTCTCAGGGGACACAGCAAACAACATGAATATTTGCTTAAAAAGTCAGCTAGGTAACAACAAACATTACAGGAAAAGCAAGTAAACTCAAGATCTGAAGCAAATGTTAAATGAAGCACTCCTACAAGAGGAAAGCACTTAGCATCAATAAGTTGAACAAAAGGAGGAACTTGTCACAGCATACATGTCATACGCTCATTCTTAGTCTTAAGTTTATATAAATAGATATCTCCAACTTCAAAATTATCTACACACAGCTCATCCTCATCACCACTATCATCTCCTACATTCAGAAATGGAGGGAACAGTCACCACTGCATCACCAAAAAGGCACATCTCTCTCTCTCTCTCTCTCTCCATTTTATTGTATATGTTGAAAATTTTGAAGTTTGCATGAACCAACCTCTAAGCTCTAACACCTTAGTTTTGTTGTATGTTTGTTAATTGATTTTCAGGATTGCAGTAGTAACAGGGGGCGGCAAAGGAATTGGATCAGAGATACGTAGATAGTTAGCTTCCAATGAAGTCATGGTGATCTTAACAGCTAGAGATGAGAAGAGGGGTACTGAAGCTGTTGAAAATCTCAAAGCTTGTGGGTTATTCTGTTATTTTTTTTCATCAACTTGATGTTACATGCTCTGCTAGTATTGCTTCTTTAGCAGATTACATCAAAAATAAATTCGGAAAGCTTGACATATTGGTAAGATTGGAAGCAAACTAAATTGATTGAAACTAATTTTAATCAATGGTGTATGTGTATCTATTTGTCTAAAATTATCAACGATAAACAACTTACGTATAGAAAATGTGATTTTTAAGGAATGTGAACAAATTTACCTCCAAGTGAAGATTTCTTGAGATACATAGGTCTGTTTCAAACTTTAGAGTGGCTCCTTGTAGCATTTCGGTTCGCACAGCATCCCACAAAGTAGATTATTGATTGATTTCACAACAGATAATTGTAAGAAAAATAAATGAACTCGATTAGAAGGTCCTATCATATAAACACTGTCAATAAAATGATAATCTACAAATATTATGCTACTTCCATAATACAATTTGTCAATTTCAACAATAGAAGATATAAAATGCAATTCATATGCCATATTATCTGTTGTTCCTCATTCGCTAATGAGAAAAAGATAATTTGATTTGTTCCAAACTAGATGGAGAGGAGTTTCTCACCAAAACAACAAACAGAACCACATTAAAGATTGCAACCACCCTCCATTTAGTTTTCATGTATTGTGCAACTCCTTCCCTGGGAGCATGATATGCAGGAAAAGAAAAGGGCAATGAGAATTTCATAGAACAGAGGTAATAGAGGGAGAAGATGGAAAGTAGTAATGTTTACTTGAAGGAATCACAATTGTAGCACAAAGTAGTAATGTTTACACAGCATTGGATATGTCCACAGGTGTAATGAATCCTCTAGCGAACTTGCTTCCGTTCATCTCCAATAGGAGCAAAAAGAGTTGAATAACAAAGACAAGTTGACAATGAGGAAGAAAAGACTGATTGTCATGACGGCACAGGAAACTGTAATGCAATGGGTGATCCCAATTGATCATAGCATATAATCCCATGTTGTAAATGTATGGACAATACAATGAGTTTAAAATGAGTTTAAAATGTGTTTAAATTTGATTTGCTTACTTTAAGTGTTAAATCTAAGCCATACAATTTTTCTTCAAAATTCACATGATCATGTAAATTCTTTTATTTAGACACATAGGCCTTGTTTGGTTTGTGTTTCCCAAAAATTTTTGAAAAAATTTTTCTACAAATAAGTTTTCAAAAGTAATCAAACCAAACAAATTTTTTCAAAAAAATTTCTCAAAACTTGTTTGGTTTACAAGTTTTCCAAACAAATCTCTCTCTCATACACATCAAATCAATCACTTTTTCCAAAACTCTCTCTCAAAATAATTTTCCAAAACATCTTTTGAAAAAAACCAAACCAAACAACTCTTCGTACTTTTTATCTCTAAAACTCATCTCCCAAACTCAAACCAAACATACCCATAATGTACTTATGTAATCATATCATTCTTAAAAAGTATAGGATATTGTCTCAAGAATACAAAATAACTTCTCTCGAAATGGAGTAGTCCATTCTAACAAATCTTAATGACAAAATAAATTGCTTTTTTTTTTTAACGATAATTTTGAAACACTTATAATGATAAGACATAGATCAAATCCCCAGTCACCAATTCTCTCGTCTTATCATGTTTAGAGAAACTCATGATGTAGTTGAAATAATTTGAGACATCAGGATAAAGGATAATTGGGATATAATCCGATAGAGCATTATGTGTGAACATAGCAGACCCACTTTGCAATATGCCGATGTAATTTGCTAAAATAGATGAATAATACGAAATGAATAAACAATAAAGTACTATGTTAAGTGGTGTTTGGCAAATGCTTTTTCAATGGCCAAACAGGGGCAGCTCAAAGAGATCCATGTATGTGTGTTATCATTGCTACCACGATTCTTCTCACAATAAAGCAGAGACGGTTGGTAGTTGATTAAGAGGGAGTTAAAGCTTCACGTCAATTATTGGAATCTCTATATACAAGTCTTAAAGTCAAGCAACTTGCTAAGAGCATCTATGATCTCTATATCTTTCTTGCAAGTTAAATTTAATAATACTAACTGAGAGGGAAATTTATGAGCTGGATTGGGCCGTGGTAATGACCGGGCAGATTATGGGCCGAACATGTTGTGGGCCGTGGTAGCTTGGGCTTAGCCGGAGAGGGTTGTGCTCGGTAATGGCCCAGGACCATGCTAGGACCAAGCTACTTGGCTTGTTTATGTGGGAACCGAGCTAATTGGGTAATTTGGCCGAGATAATGGAAGCCGGTCCTGTTCCCATGGTTCGTGCTTCCAGCCCGGCTGGAAAGGTCATCGGTTTATCAGCTCGACCAATTTCAGCTCAACTATGCTGGAATGCAACCGAGCTCAGTCGTCGTTGAGCTCGGCGAGCGGAGCACTCTAGCTTATTGTGCAACACGGCCGTTGGCAGCTGAGATGATGCAACCCGGTTGCCGAGATCCTGGTAGTGTGGGCTGACAGTTTGGTTAGGTGATGATCAGCTAGATTTGTGCTGACAGATGAGATAGCAACATCACGTGTCGAGAGACTAATGGGAGTAGATTTGGGGCGCAGAAGGTATATAAGTGAGTCTGTGCCCCCCATGCCTAGACGAATGAACATTTGGTGAGATATACACTTACACTCAACTCTCTCCTCTCTATCTATCCCTCTGTGTGTGTGCGCTAACTTGATCGTCGAAGGGGTTTTCCGGCCACACACCGCCGGGTAGCTCACCGCCGTTATGCTTGCAGGTCGATCGGACAAACAGGAACTTGGAAGAAAGGAGTACGGGCTTGCCTGAATATTTGCTCCCCGTACACTAACTAAGCAACTAATATCTCCATCAAAATTCAGAACAAAGTAAAATTTAACTAGTAATTGGAAACAATTTCTATAAGAACAGAGACATTCAAACCATCAAAACATGTTACATAACCAAATCAATAGAAATTTTCATTGAAGAGCTATAAACACAACACAATTCAAAATACCTCATAAGCTCCTGTCTCTATGAATCCTTGATGCTTGAGATCATAAAGTTGAAATGAAACTGTATTTATCAAAAAAAAAAAAGTTGAAATGAAACTAGAAGGGAGAAAAATTTAACTTAATTGAATAGAAATCAAATCAAAATCAAAATCAAAACCTTAGAAATCAAAATCAAAACTCTAGAATTTAAATCAAAATCAGAGAGAGATGAGAAAGGAGAATCAACCAAAAAAAAAAAAAAAGAGCTAATGGATCATTTCCTGCTGGTGCGTTGAATGTAGTCTGGAAAGATTGTTCAATGAATTAAAAGCTTCTTTTATGAATTCATTTGTGGGTCTATGGGTAATGGAACTCATAAGTATCAATAAAAAGGCGTTAATGGGGGGTTTGGGATGATTATTACCTTGTACCATGTCAAGGGTTGTTTTGTAGCCAATAGTGATCCCTCAGCCCACTCAACAGAGGAACTTCCATCAAGGGTTTGCAATTTTAAGTTCTCGCCATTTAGACCAACCAACATAGAAACATCAATCTTAATTTTTATTGCTTGTTTATGACCTATATGAACTTCTTTTCCCATATCATGCTTTATTTTCATCTCGGTATCCCTTTATTATTATTATCTTCTGATAAATTCTGGTATCCCTTTATTATTGTTTTCACCACTCGACTTTGAAGGAAACTTACTGGTTTCATCATTGCCTCGGACTTTTACTATTTTGAAATGGAGAGAGTATACTTGGAAACAGTAAATGGAAGCAGAAAACTCATGAAAACAAAAACAAACCTTGTAAGACCACTGTTGCTTTGTCAAGTCTCTTGTCCCCTCATTGAGGCCCTTCAGTGTGACCGGGCCAAGAACCCCCGTGTTCCATGTCTCATAATGCACACCGACATTATGAAATCGATCCAATAGAATTTAGAAAGATTCCATTACTGTCATTAACATCCCAAGAATGTAAACTTTTATCAGGAGGTATGGACTAACCGGAAGGCCAACAGCAACACTTAGTAAAGAAATCTTGTTAATTCCGGCTCTCAACTTCACAGTGCTGCTATATGTCAGTTTTGGATTCTCTAGCGGCCCGTACACGGTTCCTGCCATAAACATGTATTAGTAAATCAAGATACAGGTCAAAGCTCATTTCATGAAAGTCTTTTCAATTTTTTGTTAAAATTATTAAATAAGTTCATTTACCTGATAGTTGACCGTTGATGAAAAAGAGCGAGTTTCAATTGTCAAAAAAGCGACAAATGTTGAAAACCACAGTATATATTCATAGCTTTTGCTTAATCTACCTCTAGATTATTGCCAGGCCAAGTCACTGCGGGATACGAGGAAACCAAAGCTGGTTCACATTGCTTGATAGCCTTGTGCAAATTCGTCAAATGCCCCATTTTGGTTCTCTTAGTAATCCTTCAAGATAACAAATTATTCGTATCATATATACATGCACGATAATCTTACTCATGATCTCACAATATATGCGTGTGTAAACACGCATTTTTCTTTATATTTTTTGTTTTTGTTTTTGTTTTTGGGTATCATACCATATTCATCAATCGGAGCATCATAGTCGTAGCTAATGGCAATGAAGAGACCAGCAACTGTCCGCCCAAAATTTGTTCTGCCATGGTACTGATACAGAAAAGAAAAAAAAAATTTCATTGTACATGGGCTGAATTATTTCTATAAATAATATAATTTGGAATTGACTTACCATATAATAATTCATGAATGAACCATTATTTTGTATAAACCTAGCAACTGAAAATGCCAAGTCTTCAACAGGTCTATAAGGAACTACACCACCAAATTCTGTATACCTGAGAAAAAAACAGAGGAAACAGAGGAATACGAAGAAACAACATAAGAAAGGAATCGAATAAAATTGAAAGAGTGAGTGTTGTAATATCTGTGTGATCAAACAATTTAAATTTACAACAACAAAGAAAACTCCCAAAATTAAAATTACTCATGGCCAAAAATCACAAAATCGAAATTGGACTTGCACAGTAAGTAATGTTTCTAGTTCGCACTCTAGTTCTTGTAAAAACAACAGTCATGACAATAACATGTCAATACCATTCACAATTATGAGGCACCAAAAACCAAAAAACAGAGAAACAACAAAAATAACAAACTCATTCTTTTGTTTGTTGCCATTCTTGTATAGTCAAAAATTTCTTTGTTGCATATGCCCAAAATTCATTTGTTAAAACAAAAAACGAAAACAAACAAATGAACAAAACAAAACAAAACAAAACAAAAGGCAGGACACTTTATGCTCTAAATGTCTTAGCACTAGATGCATAGAACAGATGGCATGGAAAAACTACAATATTCATCAACATAATTCATAGTTAAATTAGAAAATTAAAATAAAATTAATTACATAACAACCAGAGTTCTGTTGACATTCTCCAACAAGTATCCCTCAACAACATACCTAAAAGATTTTCTTTTTCTTTTTCTTTTTCTTTTTTTCCTCACAAGCTCTGTAACTTCGGCAACTGTAAAGCCAACTTCCCACTTAAGAGGGAGGCAATCTCTAAAACACAACCAGAGTTCTGTTGACTTGGATATCTATTGATGATATTTTTTTCATCTGAGAAAAAGGAAAAGACAGTGGAGAAGAAAAAGTTGAAGCAACCCGATAATGATCCCCTAAAGGAGTAGAGTCAATGGGCTACCCATTTGAGAGACAAATCAACATACATTACCCCAGAACCTTAAGACACAAACAATCCAAACAGATCCAGCTATGAAATGCATACCAAATACATAATTTATATAAAAATCTCAAAACCCATAAATCTCATAACATACACCAATAATTGAGTGAAATGAAAGACCAAAAAATTTAAAAACTCATCCAAACAGACGCAAAAACAAGAAAATAAATAAACAAATAAAATAGATGCATCAATCAGAAATGGCAGAAATGAACAATTCAAAATTCAGTGGTAGAGTGAAAATACACTCCTAACCTTGAATGCAGCCGAATCCAGCAGCCATAGAAGAGCATAAACCACTGGCACCTCTGTCAGATCATCACCACAAACTTGTTAGACAGAGAGAGACAGAGACAGAGAAGTGATTAGTGATCGTACCCGAGAAATGGCGAGAAGAAGCAACAAAATCGCATGGAAGATCGGAGTTGGCTAGGGTTTCCAATTGAGAACCGCCCAACTGTGCTTTGATTGGAGGTGGTAACGAACAGTCAAACCCACCGAGTTGGCTCCTAACTTCACCACTGCCACCGTCATCATCATCAACTTCCTCCAATTCTACATTGTTCCCGCCACCGCCACTGTCATCATCATCATCTTCTTCTTCTCCTTCATCGTCTTCTCTTTACCTCTGTTAATGTACACTAAACCTAACCCACTAACCTAACCCACTACATCCACCCCACTAAACCTAACACACTTACCATCTCCATTACCACCCACCACCTCCACTACCATCCACTACCACCACTCACTTACCTCACACCTCTCCTATATAATAGCTTGTAACATACAAATCAATATACAACAATCTTGTAATATACACATAAATCAATAATACAATTCTCTTTTTACATTGTTTACTTACAACCTCTCTGCTTCTCCGAGAGCTTCGAACCTCTGCTTACTCCCATCCATGGCGAAATCAGAGAGAATGAGGGATTGCAGGAGAGAGAGAGAGTCTACAAATATGAACAAATTAAAATCCTAAAATAAGAGAGAGAGGTTTCAGTCATGTTTGATTTGCGCAAAAATAGAATTCTACAAATATAAACAAATTAAAATCCTAAAAGTAACCCCAACATTGGAACCTACGTAGAGAAAAGAAAATGAATGATTATTTAAGTTATAATAGAAGAAAAAAAAATGTTATGATTTCTTTTTTTTTTTTATTTGGATAAGTTAGAAATAAAAGAAATGAAATGATTGTAATTTTTCTTATTTTTATTTGATTAGATTTCATAATAGAAAAGAAAAAAATTGTTTTATGTTATATTATCAAAATAATCTTTTTATATTTTCAATCATTTTATTTCTTTTACTTTTACAAGGATAAAATTGATATTATAAAAATATAAGAATCTATTAATTTATTTTCTCTTTCAATATCTCCACTTTTGGAAAAATTGAAAATAAGGGTTATAAGATAAATTAGTTTCTCTCCGTTTTTCTCCATTTCTTCCAATTTCTCTCCACTTAAGTTATCTAAACAAGTAAGAGAAATACATATCTCTCTATTTCTTTCATTTTCTCTCCAAATCACTCAATCCAAACGTAGTGTAAAGAGTTTGCTTTTACCTTGATTTTACTTTACCAGATGAAGAAGGAGTTTTCACGACATGTGTTGGCATGCCATTTAAAATAGATATAGATATATGAATAATATTTAAATTTAATTTGAATATGAAAAAAAAAATTATATTTTAGAAAAGTTAGATATAGAAAATTTAGGATAATTATAAATATATTTTTTAAGATTTATTTAAAATATAAATTATTTCTTTTTATTTATTTTAGCTTTTGGGTTTGAACCTTTTTATTTGGCTTTAAATATTATTTGACTTGATATTAAATTATATTTTTTTTAATAGAAGTTTTCACGACATGCTAATGCATGTCATGTAAAATTATGATATATTATGACATGAAATGTATGTCGTCTTAAATATAAATTTTTCATGACAAATTTTTGTAAGTCGTGAAAGTTATTTTTTTATGGCATTTTTTGACATGTCATAAATATATGAATCGTAAATATATGAATCAACAACTTATATGATATGTATGTCATTATTGATAAAGCATTAATAGCTCGCAAATAAAAAAATGTTGCAGTATACACTAATTATGACATGCATTAATGCATATCGTAAACAGAAAGTCGTAAATAGTTAATTTTATATCTAGTTTATTGGGGAAAAAAGTAAAAATTTGTCATATCTACTAGAAATTTTTAAATATTTAAGAACGTCTAGAATTTTTTATTATTATTTATAATTAAAATATAGTTTCTCTAGAGAATGAGACGGTTTGGGACAAAAACAGGTATGGATCTAGAATAAGAGGAAGTGTGGTGTAAGTTTTTAAATAATTTTTTTTTTTTACTTTTTAAATTCAAATAATTTACATATACTTAGAAGAAAAAATATTTTTTAATTTTCTAAAAAAAACGCTAAATTCAAAAAAATATAAAATTTAATATTTTGCGACATGAAATGTATGTTGTCTTCAGTGCAAATATTTTATAATATATTTTTGTATGCCGTGAAAATATATATTTTTTACAGTATACTTTTGCATGACATAAAAAAAATCAGATTGCATTTTTTTTTTTTTTTGTACAAGTTTTCACGACATTCATTAGCATGTCGTGTAAAGTTATAATATTTTACAGTATGAAATGTATGTCGTCTTAAGTACAAATATTTTACGACATACTTTTGTAAGTCGCAAAAACATACATTTTTTACAGCATATTTTTGCATGTCATAAATATATGAATTAATGACTTACATGGCATGTATGCTGCTTTTGACAAAACATTAACGGCTTGCAAAAAAAAATGTCATAGAATGTACTAATTACGACATGCATTTAATGCATGCCGTAAACATGATGCCGTAAATAATTAGTTTTGTTGTAGTGTTGGAAGATCAAAATAAATTAAATATTATAAATCATTCCATGATATTTTTATCTATGTTTTTATCCTAATCATGCCTTTGTTGAGTTCAAAATGAGGCTTAAATAGGTACCAAACTAGTGCACCAGAGCAGCAGCAGAGAAGCAGAACACTAGAGACCGAAATCGACTGGAGCAGGACGACCGGGTGGTCGACCGGCCAAGGCAATTTTGGTATTTCTCTTCTACAAGCTAAGGCAGGCTTAGGACATCTGGGTGGACATTCGGGGGGACGTCTGGAGGGATGTCCAAAAGGACAACCCAAGGAGGAAAATCAGCCCAATTCAGCTCCGTTTTAGTTTTGTTTTCACCGGCTGTCAGACCAGCAGTATATTCGACGTCCTTAGACGACAACCTTAACGACCAGGACTCATGGGACATCTAGTCGGACGTCAAGAATGACATCCAGGCAGACGACCCATAGGCACATAACTTCATCTGAGACATCTGGGTGGACGTCCACTATGCAACAAAGTTCATGTATCAGAAAAGATGTTGAGAGGAGAAAATAACTATTTTGCATTAGTACACCCATCATTCAACAGGCAAAACTCACATGGGCAACTGAGATTCTCTAAGCAATCATTTGTATATTAACTCACCTATCATCATCCTATCTCCTCAACTGACAAAAGAAGATAGGCTTGGTAGACAGAACAGAGCACTGAGCTCTACTATACATACAAAGCTCTGTGAAAATAAAAAAAAAAAAAAAATAAGGTGAACGACAAACCAAGATATTTTCTTATCATTCATCAATCACATATTTCATCTTCTTAGAGTTATCTAAAGAGGTCTTCATCTGTGTTTCATTTTCTTCATTATATCAGGCACTGAACTTTTAGCCTTGAGCTTATCTACCTTTGAGATGTTCTCAAAAAAATTAGAGAGACTTGAGCTAAGAAATTTCTTTGATTTTATCATTAGTTTCAAACTCATCCTTAAAGTTATCTAAAGTATTCTCCATTCTTGTTTAATTCATTTTCTTCAGAAAACACACACTAAGCCTAAGCCTTATGCCTATTTGCCTTTGAGAGGTTTACACAAAAACCTAAGAGTTAGAATTTTGTATCTACTTGTGAGAGGTTATCTTTGTAGCTTTCTTTGAAAGCAAAAACACTCATTTCCAATCTTGTAAAAGGTCACTAGCAAGCTTGTAAAGTTAGAAAACCTGTGAAGGATTGCTCCATGTGTATGAGGTTACTAGTACCCCTGTGCAGCTAGAAGAATAGTGAAAAGTCTCAAGTAAAGGTTGAGGAGTGGACATAGGCTTTGTTGAAGCCGAACAACTATAAATCGTGTTTGTATTCTTTTCCCTTATCTCTTTTATCTTCCTCACTGCTATAGCTATATCTGTCATATTCTCTGTGTTGATTTTTTTCATTGCTATATCTGTTAAAGTAATTGTTGTTCTTGTGCTAAACACCTAGTCTCTTCAACTAATATACCTATATGATTTTTGTGCTATCTACTTCACTTGATTTAACATACTCTCCGTGTTAGAATTCTGTCACTGATATAGTTTTTAGAAGTGCTTACTTTGTGCAAAACATAAAATCACTTCACTTACCTCATATAGCTATTTGTCACTATCTATCATTGTGTAACGCCCCAAATAAATACAATGAATCCCAACGCATAAGCGAAAGAATAATAGAAGCAATATACTTTCATTCATTAGAGTCCGTACACAAAAGGTGACACATGCGATATACATTCATAAATGGGTCATTCTGAATCTATAGCATATGTTACGAGTGATAGAGAAATAAAAGTTAACAGATATTCACATGCCCTAATGGCTTACATCTTTCCAAGGCTGTGCTTAGTTACAACAAAATGGATACAAATCCAATACATATAGAGCCCTTGGCTAGAATTAAAACAATTAGCACGATACAAAAAGAGAAGCATTCAGCTACTTTTCCTCCCAAGTTATTGCCTTAGCGAAGGCATATCACCAACACTTGAAAATGGTTTTTCCCAAGTAGGGTGAGCTAAAGCCCAGTAGAAATAATCTATCACAATATATGAGTCTTAACAAAAGTATAAGTACAATGTGCATATACAATGCCTTTGACAAATCATTCTTATTCCGTAAGATCACAAAGTACCAAATTTTATATCTCAATCCATTGTTCTTCAATTCATTTCAAGTCAATTCATTTTATCTCAACTTATGAGCTAATTTCATTATTTTCCAGACAACCTAACTAAGACTACAACTCAGTAGTTCTCTAATCAACATGACAATCACACAAACACTTCAATTTGCCATTTTACGAAAATTCCGTCCGCGGGAATCGGCACCCATGTATACATGCGGTTTCGGGACTTTCACCCTAAACACACAGGCCAACTTAATTTAATGGAGTCCATCATTTTTCTCCTCCCAACCATGGAGTACATCCCATTTCTCTTCTCAAACCTCATACATATATAATGTATTTAAAACACAATCATATTCAATGACAACCAACAAGAGATTAGTTTTAATTTACCTAATTCTCATGCAATTTCTACAACAATCATAGTTATCCTCTACCGATAGCCTAATACAGATATTTCTAAACAGATATTCAATCTCAAGACAGATAATTTATTCAAAATTTCGTAGGTGAGTGATAATACATATTCTTCTCCACCATTTATGTCAACATTCATTCAATTTCACATTTTCAATACCAAATCCATTTATTTATACAAAATAAATATTTGAAACATTTTAGGACAAACTCCATCTTTTCCAAATATCAAGCTAAATGCTAAAATCAACTATTTTGTCATAATATAACCTCATATTCAACCCCATAACCATTTATGACTCGTTCGTTTAGAAACCTTTCTTTTGATTTAATACCCAAACCCTAGGTTTGTTCATAGTACACTCAAATTCCACCATTTTTACACAACAACTCATAACTAAGTTAAAAATCATATAAAAGTATAGAAAATCCCTACTTCAAGCTTAGAAGATTGAAGGAGCAAAGGAGAAACTTCAAAGATGCTCAAACACAAATCTATTTGGATCAAATGCGAGCCCTCGGCGTG